ACAAAGAATTTTTGCTATCTGTCTTCCTCCATGGCTGGTGGTAAACCATTCATAAGAAATATTTTGAGTCATTTCCTTAATGCATTGTCGATACCATAACCAAAATTACAGATCAGTTCACTTTCAGAAAATGAAGCAGCACTTAAAGGCAGGGATAAAGGCCTTCAATGCAAGTATCCCTGGAAAGGGGAAATCAACATTGTGTAATACAGACTACTCCTGATTTCTCTGACTTCAAGAAAGAGAAAAGTTTATACAGATATTGCTATAGCAGAATGAATCTCCCAGTCTACTATGTCTGATATGAGTTTTTTGTTCTCTAAAGTCAAGGAATGAATTTTAGAAACAACAGATATTAAGAGAAGAATACACTTATTGAGAGAAAGAAAGCTACCTGAGAGAGATAAGGGGTCCTGATCAGGTTGCCAAACACTGTCCTTTCTAGGGATCTTTATAGAGTAAAATCATGTGGTGAAATGAGTTTAAGGTGGGGAAAAACTAGGAACTTACAATGCAGATGGGCATAAGATGGGTCAGAGCTATGGTAGCCAATCAGATTAATAGTCAGGTAATGTTGATTAATTTGGGAACAAAGGAGGAAGGGAGTCACATACAAAGTAGGCATTCTTGGGCAGCTGTGACTCTTCCTTTAAGGGTTTGGGAGGCTGACTCCTGAGTTCATCAGGATGATAGGAACTATTTAGAATGTCAGTCTTTAGGATAAGGATACATTTCTTTGAATGGTGACACCTGATTTCCCCAGAGTGCTAGGAAACTATTTAGAACATCAGTCTTTAGGATATGGATAAGTTTGCTTATCATTTGTCCTTAACCTTGGCCCATAGCATGAGGTGTCAGTCTTCCCCATAGTGGCAAGATATCTGGTCTCTGGTATGGGCTCCTTGGAGGATCTAGCCTGGTCTCATGCCAATAGTATTTAAAAAACTCAGGTGTCTGTAATAGTACTGTTTGGAAAATTGATTACAGATGTATGTGCTCTGGGTGAATGATCTAGGGATGACAATGTGCAATGTATATACCAGTGCTTCCACCTGATTGACATGTTTTGAAATTTAATTTTAGTTGATTTGTTCTTTTTCCCTTGAAATAAAATGGATTTAAAAATTAAAAGCCTGTGGGGTAAATCTCTTCAGTACAAACACTCCTGTGTCAAGCTGAGTTCACCACTGTAGAAGAATAGCAGCTTCACAAGTCTCTGCACTACGTCTATCATTTGGGATCCTCTCTTACAGGGAGAGATTCCTTTCCCTGTTTATTCTTGACTCAGAAGTAGGCCAGTAGAGCAGGAGTCAATCAGTGATGAAGGTGCAAGCTATATGAACTGTCCAATCAGGCTGGCCATTGCTGGCTGTGACTTCTGTCTCTTCCAGTGTCTAAGCATGAATTACCTGTTCTGAGTACAATACTGGTAGCAAAAAGTTTGCTGGATCTCATTTAGTACTTTCGATGTCCTGTGGCCTGATTAACAAAGAACCTGAGAGATCCTGGAGCCATGGAATGGTGAGGTTGTGGATGGGAGCCCAGAAATAGGGTGGATTGGTTGAAATAAGTTACAGGTGTTTAGGAGTAGTTCCTGTGTCTGGAGCAGCAGGTATTTAGTTAGCTTCAACTCCTGAGGTCCTCCAGCATTGGCCATGGGTCATTCACTGTCCCTTTTGCCTCTTGCTGTTGGCAAGGGTAATTTGGGGTCCCCTGAACCCTGGCTTCACTATGACAGCAGCAGACTCAAGTATCATCTTTGAAATTCACTGCAGGCTTGGTAACTCCACAATCTTAGGCATTGGAAGGAGCTTGGGAAGACCCTGACTATGATGCTTTTTGTAGCTTGTAGAGCAGTAATGAGCTAGGTCTGTGCTCTCTTTCCTCAGCGTAGCAGATCTGTGGGGCTCATACCCACAATTGCTCAACTTAATCTTGGGCTTTTTAGTGTTTATAGTGATCTCCTATATTTATAATATGTTCTCACATTTCCATCCTCATGACAGGTAGTAGCAAAGGTCCTGAGAATTCAGAGATGTGTAGTAATGTGACTCAGTGGAGAAAGGCTTCCCAAATACCTCGTGAGCTCCTGTGTATTATACAGAACAGTGAAAATAATTTCTGAACATACTTAATTATTTAGGTGGCACCCCTGCTCCCATACTAGGTTTGTGAGAACAGCCATAGAGTTTTGAAGTCTGAGAAAAATGAAGCAAATATGAAAGTGTTATCAAGCACAGGGTACAAATTTGTGAAGGACAAATTCCAGAAAGGGCTACCTGTTAAATTCTCATCGAAAAATGCCAACATTTAGGTATTTGCATGGACACATGATATCCTTCTGAATGGAAAGGAATAGGAGTGTCATCTCTGAATTAAGAGCTGATTTAGTAGCTTGTGTGTTCATTTTATATATGGAAATGCTCTGCAATGGGCTTACTAAGTGGTGTAAAGGAGAAGCCCTAAATAGAAATTTTTCAATGATATCAATATTTAGGAATGAAGGATTTTCTGCTTAGGATGAATCAGAGGAGTGTGGAAAGGATGTGGAAGTGACTGACAGTATGCAGGAAGCCAATAGTAGGACATAAAAGAGAGGGTCTTCACTGAAATTCAGGTAGTTCTTAGAGTAAGTATGAAGTTAAAGCTAGGTTCTGATTGCTTCCTTGATGTGAGGAACACCAAGCTCTGGCAACAATCAGTATTCCACATCCCTCTCAACCAATGAATTTTGTGTTCCATGCTTGAGATCTAATATTGATTATCTCTAATTATGCCCCAATGTCATGAAGGTGAAATTTGAATTTTTTTTGTACCAAGGATCAAACTCATGACCTATGCTTTCCAGGCAGGCATTCATGCCACTAAGCTAAATACCCAACTGTGAGAGTGTTTTCTTTGTAGTATAGAAAATATCCACATTGTTTCTCAGAAAGTGTTGAATATTGTTGGAATTTTTCTGTATTTTATGGCTAGAATTTTTTGAAACAAACGAAAGGTGTCTTATGCAATCTCATTTCAAGTTTCACTTTGTCTGTGAGGTGTTTTACTCAGGGCTTCTCTATTTTAGACAGCTCTGTAACTTAGGATAGCCCCAAATTCAAGGAAGAACTCTTTCACCAGCCTCCCAAGATATATTTCTTATATCTGAATTGAAAGTGATCACTTGGTGACACTGAATTATAATTTACAGCTTGGGCTTGGTTTCATTTTATATACATATTTTTAAAATACAGCTGTTTTCCACTAACATTTGAGTTATTATTTATGTACCATATTTGATTTTATGTTTTGTTCTATGAAACCAAATTGATATTTCAAAATGCTACTTAAGTATATTAAGAACAAAGTACTCACTGGCTTAAATGAGATTTGAATAAACATCATCTGTAGTCTATCAAAGTGATTGATGAGATATTTTTTTCTTTTTTTTAATTTTGAAAGTGGTGAAACATAACAGAACAAAGCAGAATAAGGCCAACTAAGATCATACAGTGAAATTGGTACACAACTTCACAACAAGTTACTGGGATAAAAGTAATAGGTATCACAGTATATTTCATTATCTTTATAATAGTTGTTCTTTCAATCACATATATCAAAATGAGATGAAATACAGAACATTATAGAACTTATCAAAACAGAATATTGAATAGGGCAGTACCATTAGTCAGAATAGAGCAAAATAGTACTACAAATATTTGCCTTCATAGAGATAGTAGAAGGAAGTTCCCCTTATTTGCTATGGTCAACTTCCCAGGAGACGCTCAGATTTCTGGTTCCCATTTGCTAACGGGGGGGTGACAGAAGAAGAGATGTAGGGGAAGTAGGGTGTTTGATTCTAGGCCGTGCATCAGTAGGTTCACTATTGCTTAGTAGGGAGACGGGCTGGTTGTTTGATTTCACAGCATCCTAAGTTCCAACATGGCAAAGAACTCAGGAGCTGCTGCTAGTTCTCCCCATGGGAGGGCCACTTTCTACCAAACTGCCACCTGGAGAGGTGGTGCTTGCTTGGCTTCCCAGTGTCCTAAGTTGCAGCATGGCATGGATCCCAGGAGCTGCTGCTGGTTGGCCCCCTGGATCGGGCCACAGTCTGCCACACCGCCACCACTTACCAAGGAAGGGAGGTGCTTGCTTGGCTTCCCAGTCACTTGATGAGATATTTATCTGCCTCTGTGCTTTGTGGATGCTGGTCCTGCAGGCTTCTCACTGTGAGCTCTGCTTTAGAGACAGTACACAGGGACTATTGCAGTGACTCAGCACACGAATCAGTGCTCCTATTTCACTGTTACATTAGCAGTGAGTTGCAATCTAGCATCAAATTTGCTGTCTTCAAAAATGTGTATATACACAAAATTAATGACCAAGACATGGATTTAAATTTGAAGAAATCAGTCTTCATTCAGCTGTTTTGTTTGGTTTTATTTGTTTAGTTTAGTTTTGTTTTATTGAGACAAGCTTTCTGTATGTATATCAGCTGGATTTGAACACCCTATGGAGCCTAGAATTGCCCTGAATTCACCGAAGCCATCCTATCTCAGCCTTTTGAGTGCTGGGATTAAAGATATGCACCACCACACTTTGCTTTTGATTCAGATTTGCAGGAGAGAATGTAAGTTATTCCAAACCTGGGATCTCAACCTTCCTTTGAGAAATATATGTATGATCCTTTAGGAGGCGATGACCTTTGAGGATGTGGTTGTGAACTTCAGTGATAATGAGTGGAGTTTGCTGAGTCCATCCCAAAAGAACCTCTACAGAGATGTGATGGGTGAAACCTTTAGGAACATGACTGTGATAGGTAAGGATGAAATATTTTTGTTACTCATGCTGTCAGAATATTGTTTGTTGCTCATCAGTGTGGTTTCATTAAAAAGAATGTGAAAATATTTTTAAAAATAACTCAGACCGGGTCACATTATATCATAAATCTAAACAAAATCTATTATTAATTTGTATATATTATTCTAATGAGTGCTGGTATTTCTATGTCCACAATTTAGGAGGACTTGGGGATATCCAGGAAGCTGAAAAAGAATGCAAAATTTACTGGAGCTACTTAAGGTAATTCACATTCACAAGGAGAAGGAATGTTCTTGAGTAATTAGTGAGTCAGCAGAAAAATGACCGCCAAAGAAATGAGGCACCATTCAATTTAATGTCAGTAATATTCTCCCAAGATTTATAAGCCAGGGTATGTATAATGAGGGAATTAAACCATGAAAATATATAACATTGCTTATAGATTTTTATGAAAGGCATACACTTTGAGTTATGACATTCTGCCTTCAGTTTTTTACCCATATATACATGTGAATACAACATATTCATGATTTTAAAATTGCTAAGATTACAATAGAATTTAAAATAAAACTGAGTGCTCATGTTTCCAAGCCATGCTCTAGAGAATCAGCCAGTCTGATTAAAATTCTTAGTAGGCTGGTGGAATGTTAAGTGCACTCATTCTAAATATCAGTATGCAGTTGTCTCTAGAAGTTGATCCCCTCATACTTGTCCTGGATATATTTTTAAAAACTCAAAATCCACATAAAATACAGACTTTAAAAAATACACATAAAATACAGACACATAAAATACAGGCTTCCTCATATACAAAGCAGATCAAGTTATAACAGATCAGGCCTTGAAAAAACTTAAACAGCTATCACTGGTTTTGTGGAGAAGAAAAATGTTAATAGACTCTCTGTGATTGTGCATTCTTATAAACCCAGCACACTAGGAATCAGATTTTGCAGAATGGCAAATTCAAGTTCAAACTTCACAGCTTAATGATTAGTGAAACTCTCTAAGATAGATAAAGTAGAGATTTTATGCTAATACCTGTTGTTCATTCCCAGCATGGAAATGGAAAAAAATGTGTTATAAAGTGTAAAAAAATAATGTAATGTCATTTGCCATAAGAAATAGGTGGGTCTTTCTCCCATCAATTCAGAGACATTGCTCAGCTATAAAACCTAAAAGGTCACACGGTTTCTTTTAGATGAGAAACTAAAATATAAATTGTGGAATGCAATGAAAAAGAGTTGATAGAGAAAAGTAAGCCTGACCATTTGGAAAAGGGAACTACAGGTTAAGGACAGAAGGGAGATTGTAATAGAGAAACATATCAGAATGATCTTTATGTACTACACATATGTACCCATGCCCAAAATGAAGCTAAGTATTCTGCATTTCAGAAAATACCAACTTTTAAGATCTCCAGTTGTGTACCAGTCTTTGGGAATGGTTGTTGTCAACATATTTACAAGGCCATTCTGTGGCTTCATGGTAAGAATTTTTTTTTCTTTTTTTAAAATTTTATTTAAAAGGAAAAAGAGAAAAATACAAAACAAAACAAAGCGTTGTAAGGGTACAAGTAATACAGAACTACAAAGAAAATAGTAAGAAATCACCAGTTAATACACTACATATTATCATCTTAGAAATAGTTGCTCAAATCACAGTATCAAAGAATACAAAGTGGACATTCAAACAGTGAGACTGCAAACAGTTGTGTTCAATGATCCAACCAAAAACATTAATATAGTCAGCTATTTAACACCCCTAAACACACTTGCTGTTGTATCCTTTAGAGCTATTTTTCCCTCTCTTTTTTACAACAAAATTTACACATTTTGGATTTTATTACTCCTTAGTTCTTATTACTTTTTTTTGGGCGGGGGAGAATAAAGTCAAATATGGCAAAACCAAGCTGTCAGTCAAAACCAAGGATAGACATAACACATGATGTAAAACAGAGTACAAGGTTATCAACAGTGGTTATCAACAATGTCTCTTTTTTCATTAAAAAGAATTGTCTATCTCATTAGATATTATAAAGTTGAACAAAACAGTAGAGAACAAGACCAATAAAACTTAAGCATTGTAAACATTACAGGACTTCCAAAGGAGACAATAGTCAAACCAGAATGGGCATCTTAGTGAATCTTATTGCCTTCAAAGTAGTTGCCTATACCCTCAAACTTGATACTATCTTACAGAATGGAACAGAGTCTAACCAGTCAAAACAAGATAGTGGGAGTATTACAGGACTTCAAAACAAGTTGATAGGAAATCAAAAAATGTTACTATTATATATCCTGCTAATTTTTTTAAATTTTCCCCTTAATTAAAAAAACATAAGAAATAACTAAATAATTTTTTTAAAGAATAAGGGAGAGATTGAGATAAAACAGGACATAACAGCATAACAATACAGGTCAAAGCATGACTGTTTCAGCAATCTAGTGCTTCACGAACAAATAACCCGACCCAATAGTAGTCACCATAGTGTCTGTCTTTTTCCTTGAAATATTTGAATAAAACTCCATATACAATAGCTTCAAATATCTCCATATCAAGAAGCCCGAATAAAGCCTGTCCAATTAATAAATAAAAACTTTATAAGGCTTCAAGGCCACATAATGGGAAATCATGATTACCACATATTTTTATATATTTGAATCATTACTTACATTAGGGAAACTATTCGGTATTCAAACATGCGAGATTGATTTATTTCACTTATGAGTATGGTCTCAAGCTGGCCCATTTATTGATAAATATCTCAATGTGATCCTTCTTTATAGCTGAATACTACTCCATTGTATAGAAATACAACTTTTTTTATCCATTCCTCAGTTGATGGACACTTAGGTTGTTTCCAAGATCTGGCGATTACAAATTGTGCTGCTATAAACATAGGTGCACATGTATCACTGTGGTATGATGCTTTCAGTTCTTCTGGGAATACGCCTAGAAGTGGAATAGCTGGAATAAATGGGGTTTCCAATCCCAGCTTTTTGAGAAATCTCCAGATTGACCTCCACAAAGGCTGCACCAGTCTACACTCCCACCAACAGTGCAGAAGAGTTCCTTTTTCCCCACAGCCTCTTCAGCATTTGTTGTTGTTGGTTTCCTTGATCCTGGCCATTCTTTCAGTAGTGAGATGGTATCTCAGTGTGGTTTTAATTTGCATTTCTCTAATCATGGTCAGAATTTCTTAGCAGGCATTAAAAACAGAACTTGACATTAATGCAGTCATTAAACTGAGACCCATTTCACTGTGAATTTTTTTTAATTTAAAGTAAGGAAAGACTAAACAAACAAGTAGAAATCATACTACTTTCAAAATGAAAATAAACACTAAGAAACCGCAAAATGATGATTACATAGGGTACTCATAGAAATAGTTAATCAAGATAAAAAAGGGAAATGTATGAAGTGGGGATTCAAACAGCAAGACTGCAAACAGTTTTGTTCAACTCTAAAGCAAAAACTTAGTAATATGGTTATCAATCCTATATGTGATTTTTTTTCTTTACAGAAATGACAACCTAGGGAAATCCTATGGACATACATATTGGAATCAGTGTAGAGAAGTACTCCCTTGTACTGCAGAAGGTAATGTGAATGTGAAAGAAACAGAAACACACCACAATGTTCACATCCATGGAAAATATTGCAGTGGAGGGAAACCCTATGTATGTAAGCAATGCAGGAAAGGTATTACCACACATGGAATTTGTAAGAAACATGGAAGAATTCACAGAGGAGAGAGACCCTACAGATGTAAGGAGTGTGGGAAAGCTTTTACAACAGGTACATATTGTCAAGTACATGAAACTCTTCACTCCAGAGAAAAACGTTATAAATGTAAGCACTGTGAGAAAGCTTTCAGCACACGTACTTATTGTATAATCCATGAAAAAGTTCACACTGGGCAGAAATCCCATATATGTAAGAAATATGGGAGAGCTTTTAGCAGTAACATTCATTGTCAAATACATGAAAATGTTCACACTGGAGAGAAACCTTATGTATGTAAGCAATGTGGAAAAAGTTTCACCCAATCTGGACATTGTAAGAATCATGAAAAAATTCACACTGGAGAGAAACCCTATGTATGTGGGAAAGCTTTTAAAACATGTGCATATTGTAGGCAACATGAAAGGATTCACATTGGAGAGAAACTATATGTGTAAGCAATGTGGAAAAGCTTTTACCACAGATCAAAATTGTAAGGAACATGAAAGCATTCACACTGGAGAGAAACCATATGTATGTAAGCAATGTGGGAAAGCTTTTAACATACGGGGAGTTTGTAAGCAACGTGAAAGAAACCCTATGTAAGAAACGTAAGAAACCCTATGTATGTCAGCAATGTGGAAAAGGTTTCACCAATTCTGGATATTGTAAGAAACATGAAAGAATTCACACTGGAGAGAAACTATATGCATGTAAGCAATGTGGGAAAGATTTTACCCAACATGGCCATTGCAAGCAACATGAAAGTTCACACTCAAGATAAAAACCAGTGTATATAAGCATAATGAGAATGGTTGAACCCATGTACATATTGCATAATGCATGAAAATCTTCACACTGGGCAGAAAACTTATATATGTAAGGAATGTGGGGAAGGTTTCAGCAGAAATGCTCATTGTCCAATACATTATAAAATTTACACTGTTGAGAAATCCTGTGTATGTGAAGAATGTGGGAAAGCTTTCACCACACATGGATATTGTAAAATACATCAATGACTTCACACTGGTGAGAAACCCTGTGTATATAACAATGTGGCAAAGCGTTTATCACATACAGTCATTGCAAAACACATGAAAGAATTCACACTGGGAAGAACCACTGGCTATGTAAGCAAGTGGAGACACTTTCAGCAGCCAGATTGTAAGTGAAATACATGAAGAAACTCACACAACAGATAAATCCTATGTGTTATGGGAATACTCTTAGCGCACATGATCATTGTTATATATGTGAAAAAGTTCACTGGGCTGAGATCCTATGTGGATTAGCAATGTGAGAAATATAGCAATCCATATTTGTTGTTAAATACGTATTTAAAGCATCACTGGTCAGACAGTTTAGATCTAACTTTACTTTAAAAATCCCTAGGAGACCTGAAGAAATAATAATACAGAAGTTTGATGTCAACATTTCTTCACAAATTTTCCAGAAATGACAAATGTGAGGTGGAGCTCTCCTCAAGCGCACATGTTTTATGGTTTTCAGTTAATCACTTGTACATCTCTAGAGTTTTTAAAGTGTCTTGTGCTTCAACATAGCATCTTGTATTTAAACATGGTAAAGTGAAATGTGCTTTTCAATTTCAAGTATGGATAGTGACTGTTGTAGTCAGGGGTTGTGCACATAGAACAACTGGATCAAGACAGGAGTTCATAATATTATTTTTATAATAGACAATGGGAGTTAACACAGGAAAATGCATGAAGTCTATCTGCAACACCCAAGACATAGATTATTTAGTCAAGAGCCTAAACCCCAAAGCAATGTCCCACATAAGTCCAGATAAAAATCCAGAGCTCAGGACAGTGCCTCCAATGAATGCAGTTGGTGGTCCAGAGCCCACAAGAAGGACTCATGGAGTCTCTTTTATAGATCCTTGCCGGGAAGACCCAAGGTTCAGCGGTGGAAGCTAGAAGTCTATGCCAGCCAGATGAAGAAGCTGTGCTAGTGGGATGAGTGTTCTATGCTGGAACTGAGAAGTCACACTCACAACAAAAAGCAGGGCTATCCTGAAAGACACCACAGCTGTCCTCAGCGACATGGAGGCCCAAAGCTTCTCCGATGATAAGCACAGTCGAGCACATGCCAGGAAGTATTGTGATGAGCTCATCCTTGAGACCAAGCAGCACGTGACTTCCCATCTGGAGCTAAGAAGCAATGCTCGATTTGAGGAGCAAGGCTTCTCCAGGACAACCAACAACTCAGACAGGAACTCATAGGAGAACACACAATGCCTCCTTAATCCCTCAACCATCATCACCTCCCTTCTTCTCCACCTATTTATCCTGGCGACTTTCTTCAGGTGGAGCATCTTTGCTCAATGCCAAGCTGATGTATTCCAGCTGACTTTAAGCTGACCACCAGTTCTTAGTGCAAAACAGTGTCTATGTACTTAATATTTTGTCTTTAAAACTTAATTTTTATATTTTTTGGTGAATTGTAATGTTTTTTTATTTAAAGAGAAAAAAAACAGGAAAAAGGAAGAAATAATACAGAATTTCAAAAAAATAAATAAGAAATCACTAGTTAATAAGTTATATATTGTCATCTTAGAAATAGTTGTTCAAGTTAAAAAATTAAAGCATACAAAGTGGCATTCAAATAATGACACTGTGAACAGTTCTGCTCAAATGATCCAACAAAAACTTAGTAATATGCTTATCTGTCCTACACCCTTATTTTTGATCTTAAAGAGGGTAAAATTAAACATGACAAATCATTACAGAACAATTCATAAGAAAACAAGTTAAGGAAACACAGATTTCAAAGCAAGTATCCTGGAGATGTTCACTGTCTATCTTATTGTCTCTAGTTTTCTTCCAATTAGTTGTTCCTGTTTTCACATGCATTGAATATATACTGAATATTATAGAACTAATCAAATAATTACAGGATGATGAAGGCTTTTTGACCTTCAAGAACTGATTTTGGGGAAGTCCATAATAACTACAATAATGTCTTCCATTCTCTTCATAGTAGCTGTCTTTATCTTTATGTATGCTGAATTTGAACATAAGAGACTAGACTAATATCACTCTGAAGAGTGAATAATAGTATCCTCAGAAGGAGAAAGGGGAGGAATTGCCTAAAAAAAGAAGGCAGAGGACATTGTTAAAAGTGTGTCAGGATTTAAAAGCTATAGTAGCCTTATTGCTATGTTTAGTTTGATTATATTTTGTTCCGGGTCTGTCCACTCATAATACATTTGAGAGCACAGAGATATAACCCAAAAATATCAGGTTATACCATGGTAACTATCCTTAATTGACCAGCGCAGCCCCAATGAAACAGGAGACAGGAGACGCTCTTGTGGATGACAGTTAACTGCTCTTTTATTTATGCGGGCTCTGGTTTATATATTTGGCCGTGACCAATCACAGGCTGCCACGAGGAAGCAGGGCGGGAATGGGACGCAGGCTCTGGCTACTATATCCAGCTGTGGCCAATCAGGAGTTGCCACAGAGTATGGAGTGAGCACGAAGTGCGCACGGGTTGGCTAATTTAAAGAGGGACGTAGCGCATTGCGGAAGCTGGCGTGGTCCTTAGTCCCAGGGTATGGTATGTTGAGCGCCTGCGCCCAACACTAAATTTCCTATTAACTTAAACTGAAGCCCTGTGATACTTACATTGTCTTACTATGACTGATCTTTTTTGAAGCTGTTTTGTCTGAATGCTATTTGGCCTTGACTGATTTTATTCACATTTGGTATGCTTGCTGGTCTCAAGTCTAAGAGTAGAGGCAACTACTCTGAAGATGACAAGATGTAAAAGATAAGCATTGGGGGCCTGGGGATTTAGCTCAGTGGTTTAAGCACCTGTCTGGCAAGTGTGAGGTCATGAGATTGATCCCCAGTACCACAAACATAAATGAATAAAAGATATCCATTCCAGGTTTGATTATTAACTGCTTTCACATCCTACAATATCTTCAAAGTTGTGTTTTTATAAAAATAGCTATGCAATGTTATGCTTAACTATATAATGTCTGATGATGTGGACAATTCTATTGATAATAACAAGAGAAAGCATAGTAAGTACTTTACACCACCTAATATTGTAGTCTTATATGTCTTTTTCATATCATGATTTTCTAGGAATTTGTTTTGTTATCTTGTTTTGATCTATTTTTCACCATAATACCGAAAGGATAGATATAAACATAGAAAATAACACATGAGAAGAATTTCTAAACTATTTATGGGAGCAAATTATATAATACATGATGTAATGAACAGATACTCTGAAGAAGAGACACTAAGAAACCCAATGCAAATTCTGTAGCATTGTGATACAAAATTGAGTAATAATATTAATTAGCCTAGTCTCTTATTTTTTGGTGAATTGTAATTTAAAAACTACGTTTACTTTAATCTTTTAATGCACACACTTCTTTTTCTCTTTCATAAATGATGTTTCTGAAGTTGATGCAATATTTGGCATTAAGATATACATTTATAGAGGCTTGGAGCGTGTGGTTTTGACAAAGTTGTGTTCTTTTCACATAACTTGTACGTTAATGAATGTTATGTTTTCGATGTTGTGCTGAGATAAGATACCTGCTGATTTGCTAGCACCACTGGATATTATACCATGTACATTATGGTGCCTGGTTTTCTTTCTCAGTGGTGCCAATATTTGTCATTTAAATAAACCATTGTTTTTCTAACCATCAGAATTTTACCTGTTATGTTTTTATTGCATCTTTACTTTGCCAGTAATGTTTCCCCACATGTACCAAAGTAAACCGTACTACTGTGAATTTCTTATTTCCTCATACTGACAGAACCATAACTTGTCTCCAATGGCACATCACAAAATATATTAATATCTCCAGAAATTATAAAATTTGGCATGATTTATGAATAACCATACTTTGAAA